GGCTAGCTCCTGGCTGCCTCTGGTCACCCGTCGGGGGAGAGCAATTGCTCCCCCGAAGAAGGACACCTCCCCATGGAAAGTGACTTCTCCCCATTCCCCCCCCCCAAAAAAATTACTTTTCTCCCCAAATGTCTCCTTCAAAGAGCTACTTCTCCCTAGAAAAGCAAGTTCTCTCCCAAAAGCAGCTGCTCTGCCCTGAAAGTGACCAAAAAGAAACTCTTCTCCCTTCAAAAGTTACTTTTGTCCCCTGAAAGTGTACAAAACCTGACTTTTCTCCCTTCTAAAGTGACTTTTGTCCCCCAAAAGTGACCAAAAACTGACTTTTCTCCCTTCAAAAGTGACATTTGTCCCCCAAAAGTGACCAAAAAGTGACTTCTCCCTTCAAGTGACATTTGTCCCTCGAAAGTGACCAAAAAGTGACCCTTCTCCCTTCAAAAGTGACTTTTGTCCCCCAAAAGTGACCAAAAAATGACTTTTCTTCCTTCAAAAGTGACATTTGTCCCCCAAAAATGACCAAAAAGTGACTTCTCCCTTCAAGTGACATTTGTCCCCAGAAAATGACCAAAAAGTGACTTATCTCCCTTCAAAAGTGACATTTGTCCCCCAAAAATGACCAAAAAGTGACTTCTCCCTTCAAGTGACATTTGTCCCCAGAAAATGACCAAAAAGTGACTTATCTCCCTTCAAAAGTGACATTTGTCCCCCAAAAGTGACCAAAAAGTGACTTCTCCCTTCAAGTGACATTTGTCCCTCGAAAGTGACCAAAAAGTGACCCTTCTCCCTTCAAAAGTGACTTTTGTCCCCCAAAAGTGACCAAAAAGTGACTTCTCCCTTCAAGTGACATTTGTCCCTCGAAAGTGACCAAAAAGTGACCCTTCTCCCTTCAAAAGTGACTTTTGTCCCCCAAAAGTGACCAAAAAATGACTTTTCTTCCTTCAAAAGTGACATTTGTCCCCCAAAAATGACCAAAAAGTGACTTCTCCCTTCAAGTGACATTTGTCCCCTGAAAGTGACCAAAAAGTGACTTTTCTTCCTTCAAAAGTGACATTTGTCCCCCAAAAATGACCAAAAAGTGAATTTTCCCTTCAAGTGACATTTGTCCCCGAAAATGACCAAAAAGTGACTCTTCTCCCTTCAAAAGTGACGTTTGTCCCTCGAAAGTGACCAAAAAGCGACTTATCTCCCTTCAAAAGTGACTTTTGTCCCCCGAAAGTGACCAAAAAGCGACTCTTCTCCCTTCAAAAGTGACTTTTGTCCCATGAAAGTGACCAAAAAGCAGCTTTTCTCCCTTCAAAAGTGACTTTTGTCTCCCAAAAGTGACCTCTCTTCCCCCCAAGGTAACCCTCCCCCCTCAAAAAAGTAACTTTTCTCCCCCCAAAACTGACTCTTGTCCCCAAGAAGCAACTTTTCTCCCTGCTTGAAAATGACTTTTGCTCCCCAAAAGTGACCTCTCCTTCCCCAAAAGTAGCTTCTCCCTCAAAAAAGTAACTTTCGTCCCCAAAAAACAACTTTTCACCTCCCAAAAGTGACTTTTGTCCCCAAAGAGTGACTTCTATTCCCTTAAAAGTAACTCCCTCAAAAAGTTACTTTTATCCCCAAAAAGTAACTTCTCTCTCCTAATAAAGTGCCTTTTTTCCCCTAAAAGTGTCTTTTGTGCCCCTAAACTGACTTTTCTCTCCCCCAAAGTGGCTTCTCTTCCCCAAAGGCAACTTTTCTCCTCCAAAAAGTGACTTTTCCTCCCCAAAAAGTAACCTTCCCCCCACAAGTGACTTTTTGCCTAGAAAAAGAAACTTTTCTCTCCCAATTAAGTGCCTTTTGTCCCCAAAAAGCAACTTTTGTCCCCCAAAAGTGGTTTCTCTTCCCCAAAGGCAACTTTTCTCCTCCAAAAAGTGACTCTTCCCCTGAAAAAAGTGACTTCCACCTCCCCCCCCCCAACTTCCTTCTCTGGAAAGTGACTTATGTCCCTAAAAAAGAACTCTTCTCCTCAGAAAAAGTGACTTCTCTGCCCAAAAAAGCAACTTTACCCCTCAAAAGTAACTTTTTCCTCCCCAAACCAACTTCGATCTTCCCCAAATCCGACTTCTCTCTCTCAAAAAGCAACTTCCCCCTCCCAAATCTCTCTCCTCTCTCGCCTCCAAATCCAACTTCTCTCGGAAAAAAACAACCTTCCTCCTCCAAAAACTCGACTCCTCCCCCTTCCAAAGCAACATTTCCCTTCCCAAAAGCAACTTCTGC